GCAGACTTTCTGGTTTTTTGAAAATAACTAATAATTTTTCAATAACTAGAAGGCTTTAGGATTTTCAAGGTGGTAAAACTTAGAGTAGAGTTTCCCCTAATGGTGTGTATGTTAGTATTTGCCACGTGTTACTTTGGTCCATATTGCATCTTGCAGTTTCCAGATTTTGCATCCACTTTAAAGTTTATGATGAGTCTATATCGGTTTAATCATACTAATATGCAGTAGACATAGCCAGCTCAGCCAAGAAACAATAAATCTTCAGTCAAATTACCGTCCAGTGAAATTCCTCCAAGAATGGTCTTCTGGAAATTATTAAATCTACCAAACAGCTTTCTAGTCTCGCCCACCGGCACCTCATTTTGATCTGGTCGTGATTGGCTATCGAATGAAAATGCATATTGCGGGAAAAAACCAGGAACCCACTATAACGACCGTATGGAGACGCAGTGTCCATACGGTCGTTTAGTCCAAATCGTTATGGACATTATAGTGTCCATACGGAACGTAATGGATTAACGGAGTTTAAAAGGAGTCATAGAAATACCTAACTGAAACTGTGTCTCACAGTAGGTTTGCTTGGTACTTCGTTCAGAAGGTGAGTGTTAGATTTATCGTTGAGCTGCGGTTAACCACTCAAGAGCCATGCACAACGACGTTATTTAATGCCAGTAAGATAACATTTTTACTAAATATTTCTTCATCAAAATTTTTAAGGTAGCTGTTTTAAGGATATTTCTGCATATTTCGTCCCGGTACTTTTAACGTGAACATTTCTAGGGTTTTCCATAATGATTCACTCCATATTGTGAAGTTTGAAGAATTACATACTTGCAAGCAAATTCACTGGTGATCGAACCGGGGTGTTCGTGACGACTTTTTGCTGGAAACTTTTTCGCACAATCCAGCAACTGCGATTTACGCGCTCTTGCGTTCGCTGTAATTCGCCTTGAAGTGCAAGAAAAACGTATCATCGGGCCGGACGCGTGCCGCCGTTGAAGTCGATGGAAAAGTGGAAACGATGAGACGCAGCATCGTCGGTCATAATCGTTGATGGTATTCAGTTAGCATTCACTCGGCCACAAAGGTCTAATGGTTTGATGGACCATCAAATTCAACGAGTCGACTATGCATTCACTGGTGCTAACAAAAGTCATTCGACTAACGTCTTTGCAAAGGTTTTGTGCTCGCCAGTTTTCAACATCTTGACACTGATCCTCTAAAACCCACTTTTAGATATCACATAGAAATGAATGTTTCGCACTCCAAGCGTGTTCGCTGATGCCAATGTTCCATAAAAGGTAGTAGAGATCTGAAGTCTCTGGTCTATTACAAGACGACATTCCCGTGCATAACTTAACATTGGTACACTCTCTAGCTATGCTCTCCTTAAATTTCTATAAATCGTTTGCCTGTCTAAAGTTTTCCATGAGCAATAGTGCAGTATTGACCCCACTACCAACAACCCAATAGAGGAGATGTTCTCAGAAGGCAATTTAAATACCATACAAACAGTGCTAAAAAACTTATTCGAATCGAATTGTTGGGCTACACATTTCACTAATCAAATTAATGCTCACGCAATGAAAACCATGACTAAGAATGCATAATTTCTAGTATCGCAGCTCGGACTTCATCGGAACAATCAATATGCCAAACAAATTACTGTATCCAATTATATTATCCGGATTCTTGCTCTTAATGCATCAGAGTACACAACTGAGAACTGTGTCAGAACCTTTGAGGATACTCACTTATGAAATAGTCTTTTAGAGAAAGTAGTTTTTTTAATAAAGTGTTATTGCAGTCAGAATGTGTTCATAATAGAAGCGCAACAGTTGGATGGCATAAACAGACTCTCTTGGGCGGTTTCATTCGGCTGCTGCCTGTTCGTCTCTTCTTTTCTGGCTGGGTGTTTTTGAAATTCCAACTATGTTTTGTTGTTTTACGACAGCGCATTACTATACAAGTAACATTTCACTTTTGCTCCTACCTACTCACCATCGCTAAGCGCTAATTAATAAGGTGTGAGGTTCAGCGTGATGTCTTTAACTAAAGTTATTAGCACAACATGATACTTCTTTCAGTAATTCCGACATGTAGCAGCTTTTTTCGGCTCGCACATGCATCAAAGCCCCTAAATAACTCCACTAAATCACCATCAACTTGTTACTTAGTTAAAACTGACTTTAATTTTCCAGAAAAGTTATTCGTGAATCTCTGCGCGTAAAATTTAACCTCATGAATGAATATGGCACGGTTTTTGTTATGAATGGTTGAATTTATTTAAGAAAACACTCTAAGTGAAAGACTTGTGATTGACCACATACCAGATTGGAGACTGAAGAGAAATATCTACCTAAATACTGACAAAACTGAACATGCATTAGAAATTGATGAAAATCATGAATAGGAAAACGAAACGACTGATGATAGTATGGCTGGGTAACGAAGAACCATTCTTGAGATTTTTAAATAGTTTAGTAGTTTGGGTGTCGATTGTAAGTTTATGTTGAAGTAGGCGACTATTTTGGTGATAGACGTCCTTGTGTTTTCTATTCAAACCCTTTGTTTATTTATTTCCAGGTCATATTTCTTGTTTACTTGCATCATTCCTTGACCAATGTTTGGTCGTTAACTATGCCAACTACCGAACTATACACCAACACCAGAAACGGCCGTTTGAGCATTACAAATTTGGCCAATCCTCCAATTGTCACACTTCTAGGCCTCGTCATTATCAGCCCCTCAGACTTCTTCCACCAAAATCAATTATTGTTCGTTAATATAAGAATATATTTGTTTCACTGCGCCCACATATTGTTAAGCTTTTCGTTTTCACATAGATTTTGGACAACATCTGATTTCGGTCACACCGCTTGGTCAAACGTGATATATTGACTTCCAGCATTCAGCAATACGTTTACAATTCTTGAACGTTCCAACGTTTTGATGTGTTTTGTTCGTTCTTTCAATATCTGGTTTCTATTATCACCTATGAAACGATGATGAAACATTGACTGTTTCTCTTTTCTTCTGAAAATTGAAAGAAATGTTGATGACTCCCTTTCATGGTAAGAGGTGTGCTTAATAATAATCTAGATTAAGATCGAACGCTAGAGCATTTGAACAACTCTTTTAGTAATTGCAATGTTCTTATTTTTTAAGGAAGAGATCACTTAAGAATGATCAAACATGTTTACTCGTCATATCTTGTTTAGTATAAATACACACCTGTTTCTTTCACTATATAGTTGACTAGTTAGTGGAGCATACTTTATAATAACGGACTCAGTACTTAAAACAAAGACGAAGCAGATGCACTGTGCTGGGTGTACGCGGTCGCCTTTCACGGTGTGTCAATGAGGTGTGGATGGTAAGGTGGATTATGGTCCTTCACGGCCCCATTTTCGCAACAGACCCCAATCCCTCAGGCACTATGGCCTGCTAAATTGTTACGTAACACGTCAACAAATCCACTTCACTCTGAACTTGTTGTATCCGCAGATTCCCTGTTTGATACAAATGGTTCATTTGATTTAGTGTAAACTTCTTTTGAAGTAAGTCCCAAAATTTACGGTTACATATTCAGAGTTTTAAATTTGCCTCAATATTTTCTCATTCATGTCTGTCTTCCAGTTGTTAGTGACATCATAGGGGAGAGTTCCAGTAATAAAAAGGTTTTCCCATTCATTAATCATGTTCTGTTACACCAATATCTCGTTTCTGTGTATCTCATCCAAATACTGTACGCGATTTGCAAAGAACGTTAGGAAAAACATGTCAAACGCCACTACTTCGTAAATTCACAGCTGTATTCGCTGTATTCACCAATGTAGTACAGTTGTAGTAAAAAACTCAACTTTCCGTAGTGTGAGCGACCACGTGCAAGTGGCTAATTCCACCACCTGCTCATTTACTCTGCACTATGAGGACCCACAAAAAATGACGAATGAATATTCAGATAGAATCGTTTTCAAATTTAACTTCTCAAAGCGCAATATTTTAGCAGGAGTCATAATCTTGATAGCCCTGGATTAACTAGTTTTCGCATCACATTGTTGATGGTAAATTACGAATTATAGAGAGTAATGAGTTAATTGCTGATGAATCTATGACTGTTGTGGTTATTGTGTCTCGAATCCCCTAAGTGCTTTCTGTCACTGCTCGTCTTGCTTGGGGCGTTGGCTGCGCTTGTCATTGCTTGCAGCGAGCCTGTTCGTTGTCAATCACGATATCAATATTTAAACTACAACTCGTCAAAATCCACTGCTCACTCTTTTCACTGTCTACCAAGCACCCAAAACATCGTTTATTAATAAACATCAAACGTAGTTGAGTAACTAGCGCACTTTTCGCGTTCAATGGAAAAATGTTAAGCGGAGTAAACCACTATATCAAAGCGTGAACAAAGTGATTTTTTATCCTCCCAACTCACCATGGGATTTATGCGGTTTTCATGCGAGGCGTGCTAGGAGATCATTCGTCACCAATGATCATTCAGAATGCAACCTATCCATTCAAGAACCTTTCAAATTTGATACTGAGTAATGAGTGATTTTACATTTGTATTTGATTCTACAGTTTTCTCACGTTTTCTTCAGTGTCACTTTAAAAAGATATGCATAAGAATAGGCACTGTATTTGTGATCGTTTCTATACTTCTTCATCCTTCCCATAGAAAACTCGATATTCCTCTTCTTCTGTTCCATTGTTTTCGTTGTCACTCTTTCAAAACTGTTTAGATATACCAGATGGCTTTACGTGAAATTCTTGTCTGTGATGCATACAGATTCACCTGGTCTCTTAATTACAGGTTCATCTACTGTACATCGCCCCGCCCAGCGTTGTCGGTGATTTGCTGACGTCGTTCAAACCCACCCGTTGCGGTTTGTCATTGGTCACGCAACACGCCCACCTTATTTGTTGCCAATGCAGTGAGTGGTTGCGTGCCAACTCTCATCTGCGAACAATACACCTGCAGTCTCACTCTTTCGAATATGACGAAGTTTTCAATCCTGGATTTATGCCCGGATCTTGTTGAAGAATCCTCATCTACACCATCTGTAAAACAAGAAGGTAGAACAACATTTCCTAAAATCTCTATTTTGTATTCTCTGCATTATAATAATTTTATCAATACCTTTAACTAAAACCACTGTTTCGCTGAAGATGTTCTTTTCTACATCTGTGGTTTTAATAATCCATTAAAATCAAATAAATCGAGGTATTCGCTCTAGCATTTACAGTCTCACCTGTGAGTCCTGCGTTATCTGAGACGACTGTAAACCATGATGAAGATGATCTCACTGATGAAGGGATCGAAGAGGGACCGTCAGAAAGTGGGGACAACAGTAAAGTGGGAACTATTTCTAGAGCTCGGCAGTTAATCAGTGTTAGTACATTTCAATTTCAGGATTATTCAAAGTCTCCAGAGGCTACAACAGAGGATGCTGAGAAGAAATCCGGTCCCAATGACAAGCCTCCATTTTCGTACAACGCACTAATTATGATGGCAATAAAGAACAGCAGAGAAAAAAGGTAGTTCAACCGCTTATGTTTCTATCATTGTTTTGTTGGATATATTCCTATCGTTGTTAACAACAAATTCAGGCTCACTCTCTCTGGAATTTACGACTATATCATGACAAACTACCCATTTTATCGCGACAACAAACAAGGCTGGCAAAACTCAATACGTCACAATCTTTCACTCAATAAATGTTTCGTAAAAGTACCGCGAAGCTTTGACGACCCAGGAAAAGGTGGGAATGAGGTCTTCGAACTATGCTTATACAATGACAATAAGCTCCAAACTGTTCTTTTTACATCAAAGTCTACACAACGGAAACATTTCCGTATTTATTTTTCAGTTGTCATCTCTAATAAAGTAAAGACTCAATGCTGTGGATTTTCATTATATTAAACAGCTTTGTTGAATTTCCCTAATACCCCAAAAATTTACTCGATTATTCTGTTTCGTTTATGGGTAACAAGTTTTAGGAAACTACTGGATGCTTGATGCGTCATGCGAAGATGAGGTGTTCATTGGTGGCGCTACTGGAAAGCTGCGACGACGTCCATCGACAGTGAGCCGGGCCAGAATGGATGCCTTCAAGCAGTACGGAGCCGCAGCAGCAGCACTTTTACCTCCTTACAGCTCTGTCACTTTCCCTCGTCCACCGCATCCATTTTCACCTCGTCCACTGCTGCCGCTGCCGACGTTTTATGCACATACAGATCTCATGCACCTCTATCTAACCCAACAACAACAGCAACAGCACCACCAACAAAAAATGTTGAAGAAATTTTAGTGGTTCTAAGTGAGTTTCTAACCATTTTACGGGTTTTGTTTTGCATTCATGTAGCGTTAGGTGAGAAGCAGTTACCTGCTTTATACAAATCAATGAAGACTTTCTATGTACGCTCGCCTATCATAGCCTTGTAGTGCTTTGTTTCATAGCTTGTGATCATATCATGCTTCAGTTGTCATTGTGGCATTATTTTTGTCCGTAAACCTTGTACTGGAGAGTTCCGTATATCTCTTTCGTTGTATCATACTGAGTTTTGACAGTGTTCACTTCATCAATAGAATGTTTAAGAGTGGTTGATGTTTCTAGAGCTGCAATGATTTCCTGTTATATCTAGGGACTAAACGCTTCATTCGAACTTTTTACATAGAGCTATTTAAACGAATGAACTAAATTGTGGAAACTTCTTCAAAAACGATCTGTCATGCTACCGCTCTTCCTCAGTTGAAATCACTCCCAATTAATCTATTTAACAGAATTAATTTCTTTCTTCCCAGTGGGAAATTATGTGAAAATCTAAGATCCATCTTGTCATTCATTCTACCATTCACCTCTGAGTAAAGCATTCGATTGGTTCTTGTTATCGTTTCGTTAACGTTACTTAAGGTTTTCCAACAGTGCTTACAAAAGCCCTATTTTTCCAAGTCTAAAAATTTCGAGCGCTCTCATATCTGAATAGGCAATTATACCATAATGTTATGTCAATGTTATCGGTTTGTGAGTTCGAATGCCTGTTCTGTGGTATGACGATTATTGGGCGGTGTTCTTTTCATAGTATTGCGCGATAACATTTGTTAACTACCTGTTAAAGATGCGCACCTAATCGGTAGCGTAATGGATTGAGGCAAGAATGGAGAGCGCTAGTGTTATGCGACGGACAAGAATGGTATCCAGTTCTCGAACATCTGTTTATGTCTGAAAGAATCTACCGACTGCCTGCGCAGTTCGCCGCAATGCTGCATGTTGCGGTCATCTAATCCGTCTTCGCCTCATTCATGAAATCATCATTACTGAACAAATATCACTACCGTACCGTTCAAACATGTCACTCACGTAACGATCGCCGACTAACTCGACAGCACACCAAAGCGCGAAAGCAAAATAAAAACGCGACGCCAACGTTATTCATCAAAACACATCACACAGGTTAATCGCATTTCTTGACGACTATATGACATTAAATCACTGTTTTATACCAGTCAAATAAGTTGATATTTCTTAGCTTAATTAATGGATAACCTCTCCGGAGTTTTGAAGTATAATTTTTCCAATCGTGCCTCCTACCCGAAAATAACATTCGGCTCGGATAAAGTTCGTTTCCGGGGTAAAGTGTAACTGATTTGGTGCGGTGGTGAGACGATCCTTTGACAAACGATAGCCGCTAGGTTTTTGATTGGCAGAAGTCTAACAGGTGCCCTCATCGCTACACTCTTGGCTCACCAATAAACAAATTTTAAGATGCATTGCCCATTCGGTTACATACACTTTTATAACTTAAGTCAAAGTGTAACTAAAAAGTATTAAAATAGAACTCTTTGAAGCACCAATTTTTTTAAGAGTTTAGTTTCCTTTAGCTAATTAACAAAAATTTCGCAGTAGTACTGGAAAGGAATTTTTTAGGCGGCTAGTATTTCTCGCGTATATAGTTATTCTTTGCATTTCAGGGTAGTTTGGTTGTCTATAGGCTTACGTCACAGATTTGTCGACTAGTGTTGTTTATGAAACTTGCTTAGCACTGGCCACATTCCACGACCTTTGTTATAAAATTATTGATCCTCTGAGGGATTAATTTGACAACATTGAGGAATAACAAGATGCGTCGTACGGTATTGCTTTGCTTAAACCGTGTCAAGAGTCGACGAGCAGGTGTAGGCGTTGCATAACGAAAATGGACAGCCTTTCTAGACATACTGAAAAAGAAGCGGACCTTTGGAGATAAAAAATCCTGTTGTATCGAACAATCGCAAACAGTTTTGACTATACGAAAAATTTGACGATGTAGTTTTTTCACTCTTCACTCATTAAAGTTTGCTGCATAAGAAATCTAACCAAGTTACTCCTGAAAACTAGCTTTAAGTCTAATTCTCTCTCACTTGTTCGGAATGAAAACCACGTTTCAAACTTTAAAGTATTAACACTCGAAAGTTTTGTGGCGTTTACTATCTATAAGCTCTATTTTCTCACGGCGTAAAGAAATAGCATGACAGCTTAGGTTTAGTTTCTTGTTGAGAAAACAGAAGGGTTTCCCAAAATATGGTATAATGAGACAATGACTGTTTCAAAACACGAGATTTTTATATGTACTGCAATCGATAACATTAGCGATCAAATAACTCTAGGGAGCACCACTAAACTCCATTTGACTCTGTAGCAGAGCTGCTCATTGGGTCCCAATCGTTCGAGCGTCGCGAAAAGCATCGTAACATTGATATGAAGCATTCTTCTGACTGTTATCAGCAAAATATAGCCACTGGTAAGATGCCGAGCTTTGCTGTGAAGTAGGTCCACTTTAGCTAGCCTTTCTTACCGAAATGTCGAATTCCCTCTTTGAGCAAGATCATGCTGAGATGCAAATCACTCACTGTATCTTGCAGTTCGACATATAAAAACATCCAAAAGCAGATGAGATGGCAAACTGTTAGAGAAACATTACATGTATATAGATCGACACATCAACTAATATTTAATCCGCTTAGCTGTCTAGTTTTCAGGTAGGCTACCAGGAAGCCGATTATCCTTGAATACGTCATTCTGCGAGTGAGTGAATTGAGACGGTTTACATCCGCCAGGATACAGACCATGACCAATTAGGAGTAGATAATCCCGTCTCGAGTGTACAGTTGCTAACCTCCTTAGCTCTCATTTATAGGAAACAGATGCGCAGATCTGTTCCAATGGTGTATATCCCGTCACCATAACTATTATAGCCATAACACTCCTAATGAAATACAACCAGGTAGTGTGAATCCTCAATTATTATGTGAAGCCTTTAAGAATCGTACCATTATTGTTGACATCAACGTTTTAAACAATGAGTAGTTTTTAAAATGAAAAAACGTGTTCTATACTACGCGAAAATTTCAATAAACCATGCTTGAGGAGATAAAATTGTACGTAAAGCATGAAAATTCATATGTTAGGATGGTTGAGTTGCGTTGTAAATAACAGGTCCATTGTCGACTATAGTTCATTAAAGCGAGATTTTATAGGATGCTCTAATTTTACAGTACGATGCAACCAAAAGAAGCAAAGAAGTGTAAAGTGGCAGTAAGCACAAATGGTGATGACAAGTACTAAGTAGATTCGCACTTGGCCACGAACAACTGCTCTTTGATTTCATCCGCTAAGGTGTTAACGAATGCATTGACCCTAATATGGGTCTTGCCCGAACCTTTGGTTTCGCCTCACAATTGTACTACTTTATAATAAATGTGTTCGAAACGAGCTGCTCTTTTTTGCTTTACTGCGTGACAATTCCTTTTTTTTCTTTAAAAAAATGCGCTTCTGAGTTTTTCGCTGTCAGCTTCCTTCATTCTTCATCCTTCGTCTAATCACCTCCTAATTGTGGTTCGTCAAATACAAAACCGGTTTTTTCTTTTCAGCCCTTGACGTTTTGTTTTTGAGCGAGAATTCATATGTTATCTTCATGTCGTAGATCATTTGAAAGTGCTTATTTCGCTCTATATTTTTTTTGTTTTTCATGCCGATGCTGCTTTCTTCGTTATTCAGACTAAGGAAATATTTGAACTGAAAGCAAGAGAATACCCACCATTTTATGCAAATTCTTCGCAATTTTCCAGTTTGTGAAATTGCAGCAAATTATAATTTTTTGTGCAAATTCTTATTAGGAAGCCTGAATCTCACCGTGATAGAATAAACAACACCGTATCTCGTTATTGATTTGGCCTGCTTCACCGTTCTGGATCGGTTTTAGACAAACGGGAAGATTCGCTACAGCCACAGTATTCGTTTCCATCGAGGAGAAAGGTTAGCTTGGAGACTTCCCCGATTAAGAAGGGCTGGCCTTGTTTGTGTGGTGATGACCTCAAATGTCATACTAGGGTGACCACGGCAGATTTGTCTGGCGTTGCGACGCGATCAACAAGCATTCAACATTTCATTGAAAATGAAAGACAAATCTTCGTGCCAAATCTAATCCAACCATTGCTGTAAATGGCAGCTGCAAGAATCTGAAGTGAATGGAAGCGCTAGAGCACTTATGCCAAGTTAAGACAAAGCATCTAAGCGCATGAGCCAATAGAAGCAGAAATGATATTTAAATGAATGCAGTTTTTTGCCAATGCAAAATAAAGTTTTTGCAGGAATTAGCAGAGTGTAAGTTGAAGGATGAAAAATGGAATTTTTATGAACAATAATAATAACACGTACGTAATAATACAAAAAAACTCGTTGTTCTTAAAATCGTTACTGTTCGTTTCACGCTTTTATCGGTTACGTCACCTTAAAAGATTTCTGTCCAGCCAATCATAAATGTAAGCTGCCTAATAATTACGCAACGTGTTGATGAGCTCATAAATCGCTACCTTTGTTGTAAAATCATAACGCTTCCTGTCGACAATATCACAGTGTGCCTACTGTATCACCTGTAGTCCCGTTATTAACGGAGAAATTCCGTACGGCACCGATGAGTTTCGGCAATCATCGTCGCATCTCAAAGCTGCTCAATAGGTTCCACTCACTCAAAGTGCACAAAAGAACCGCACTTCCTTTGTAAATCTTCTTATCCCAGCCGTTTTGAGCGATAAGATAACCATGAATTGCTCGTCCTGTTATTTCGTTGTTTAGATTTGCTCATAACTATCTTAACGGTTGAAATATTGACTTAGCTTGGTTGAATCTGATAAGTAATGAAGCCTCCAAACATTAAAATACAACACATAGCAATATTTCTCAGATAAAGTGACGAGAATGGTGGTTGGAGGACGGTATTCACAGACAGGATTTAACATGCACGTTTACACTGTCCATGAACATGATCTTTC